ATTTTACACTCAATTCAGTACTTTATACCAAATTTCGTGCAAATCGAGAGATATATAGTGGCTTTGGTGCACCATTTACTTAGAATCGGACTAAACTATATATGGGAGCTATACCTAAATCTGGACGGATTTTCACGAAACTTGGCAAACATAATTCTAGACCTAAATGATTAGGCTGTACCAAATTTCGTGCAAATCGAAAGATATATAGGGCCTAAAAACACCAAAAAGTGAACCGATATTGGCGATGCATAGTAGGATAGAACATCCCCAAAATACTGCAATTTAGAGGTCAAAGGTTTTATTTATTTCAATGCAGAAAAAAATATTGATTACATCGTGTAGCAATTACCGAACATTTGTAGTTATCATTATATGAGGTGTTATGGCTCATTGAGTATCATTTTTGCATCATAAAAACTTCCGTTACGCTAAATGTTAAAATACCGAAAGTCGGTAGTTAGCATTATATAGGGGCAAGACCAAACTGCGACCCGATGTAGTTCATTCTCGAAACTCACATTCTAGTCTTTGTGTTACCCTTATATGGGGGCTACCCTTATATGGACCTACATTTATCATTTTTAGTGGAGAGATTTTCTACCCATTATGAACTCAACAATAAATTACAACTATTTCGGTAAAAAATACGACGAACCCCCACAAAATACCGAACATTTGGTGGTAGCATTATATGGGGGCTACCAGAAAAAGTGTACCTATATTTATAATTTTTAGTGGAGAAATTTGGTATCCAATAAGAACCCAATATACCAATTTTCAGCGAAATCGGTTGAAAAGCGCGCTCAAGAACCCTAAAATCCCGAAAATTGGGGCTTACCCTTATATGGGGGCTACACGAATAAATTGGCCTACATTTATAATTTTCAGTGGGAAGATTTGCTACCCAATAAGAACTCAAAGTACTATATTACAGCAAATTCGGGAAAAATGCAGTCAAAACCCCGCAAAAACTGAAAATTTGGGGGTATCCTTATATGGGAGACTACCAGAAAAATGGACCTATATTTATAGTTTTAAGCGGAGAAATTTGGTATCCAATAAGAACCTAATGTTCCAAATTTCAGCGAATTCGATTGAAAAACTTGCTCAAGATCATCAAAATAACGAAAATTGGACCGATATAGCCCATCTTCGAATTTGACCTGCCTGCAGACAACAGACGACTATATGCAAAATGTTGACGATCTATCTCAATTCTTTTAGACCTAGAGTAATTACAACAGACAGACAGCGCAGATATACTCTCGAAAACTCTGAAATGTGGAATTATACCAAATTTCAGCGAATTCGATTGAAAAACTCGCTCAAGATCCTCAAAATACCGAAAATTGGGTGGTACCCTTATATGGGAGCTATGCCTAAACGTGGACCGATATAGCACATTTTCGAACTTGACCTGCCTGCAGTCAAAAGACGACTCTATGCCAAGTTTTGGCGATCTATCTCAATTCGTTTAGACCTAGAGTGGTTACAACACACAGACGGCGGAGATGTAGGGGAGACTGGGGCACCTTCGGCACTTTTTTTTTAAAGCTCTATATCTCAGTACTTATTCAACATATATAACAACTTTATGGCTGATTTTTGTCCTCTGACACTTAATTATAAAAAATAGTACCAAAAAGATATAAAAAAATAGTATTAGTTAAAAAATTTTACAGTTTTTTAAAAAAAGTCAAATTCGCCGAATGTGCCCCAACCCGGGGTAGCTTCGGCATTTGATGGGGCACATTCGGCACCATAGTCATAGCCGGGTAATTGTCATCGCTATCTGTCTGGTTGAAATTCTGATCCTCTAAAGGCTCTATTAGGTTTTAATACGCCACACAATGTTTGAATTATATGGCTTTATTTTCGAGCGGCGGACGTTTACATCTCAAGGTCGCACACACCATCAGAAATAGGGGTTTTCTATCGCATTTTCGTCAATACAAGCACGTTTGATCTTATATATGCAATTTCGAGCCATATTAAAGGATTAGTTTTAAAAACAAACTCAAAAACCTTTTACGGAAATAATATTGCACAATCTATATATGGCCGAATGTACCCCACTTTGAAATGCCGAATGTACCCCGAATGTACTTTTTATAGTTTTTTTCATTTTTTTCGATCAGATTTGTAAAAAGATTATATTTTTAAATATTTTTAAAATAATAAACATCGTAGTTAACCACTTTTTAATAATATTGTCTTAAAAATTTTAAAAGTTTTATACACGAAATACTTACGAAATGGAATTGAAATATTACAGAAACATCTATAAAAATACAAAAACCTATGTATCTAAATAAGCTTATTAGCTAAAAATTTCAAACTTTGTGTCAGTTATTTATTTCGATATTCGATACCTATGTATCGAAACTAGTGATGTACGGTGAGAACTTCATATCGAAAACGCGATTGCCGAAGGTGCCCCGATGCCGAAGGTGCCCCAGTCTCCCCTACTCTCGAAAATCCCTTTCGGTTGAAAAATGCGGTATAGTATATAAAAAGTTTGCCTGGGCGAACTTAACGACGTTTTAATTATACCTTTCACAACACTATGGTACAGGGTATTATGACTTTGTTCATATGTTTGTAACAGGCAAAAAGAAACGAGATAGACACATGGTTCCTTTTGAGAATATGCATAGAATCATTATACCCTACACAACTATGTTGTCAGGGTACTATAGCTTTGTGCAGCCCCAAAAGTTTGTAACGCCGCGAAATATTGGTCCTAGCCCCACCTTTAAGTATACCGATCGTCATATCTCGACTAGCTGAGTCAATCTAGACATGTGTGTCCGTCCATCCGTTTGTCCGTCTGTCCATTATAATTTGTAAACACGATACAGGCCACAGTTATGGACCAATCTTCACGAAATTTTGCATGTAGGATGGGTTCTGGCCAATGAAGACCCCTATTGTTTTTGATAAAGATCGGTTTATGTTTAGGAGATGAAATGGACCAAATACTGAATTTTTGTTGGTTTTTCTGTTCGCTCCAGAGGCCGCAATTATTGCCCAAACATCGCGAATTTTTGCATGGAGAAGGGGATCGGGCCAAAAAATAAGGATGCCTGTTTTTATAAAGATCGGTCAATATTTAGCGCGTCAAATGGACCCTGACTTTTGTGTGAAAAATTACAAATTTGGTATTCTATAGCGTATATATTTACTTCTGAAGGACATAGAGCCGAGAAGTTGATAGTATATCCAAGAGGAGTGGTTGACCTTTAAATTGATACCAATTATAGAGTCGTGTGTACTCGGATGTGGGAGTTACACGTAAATATTTTCAGGAGCTTACGTATTCATATATTATTTAGTAACATATTATCACAATAGAGGAGGGAAATATAGCGCTCATCGCTTTGAAATTTTCCTTGAGGATCCAGGTATGGTCAAGGACAACGCCTATAATTTTCTGTGATGATCAGATTTACAATTTGGGATGAAGTGGACCCAAAACTAAATTTTTTGTATTTTTTCGAGTCGATCTATAGACTACAAAACCGAAAATCACAACACAACACACGGTGAAGTGAATCTGGACAAGTATTTAGAATCTGGACAAGAATTGTAAAGAATATTGGGATATTCGGAACATATGTATTTGTAAGGAAGAGGTGCTGTTGACCTCTAATCGGTCAAGAGGGTGCAAATATCAAGAAATATTGATCAGGCTCGAAATAAACATACGCAAAAGTTAGAGTTCCGTGGTAGTTGTGTAGGGTATCATATGGTCGGCCCCGTCCGACTATTCTGCTCCGCTCACTGGTTTTCTAAATCGATTTATTCATGTCAGTCTGTCCATGTTAAATTGTAAACAAACTACAGGTCGCATTTATGATCCGATTTGGATGAGATTTGGCACAGCTTGTCTGTTTGGCCCAAGGACGAACCCTATGGAAATTGGGAGAAATCAGTTCAGATTTAGATATAGCTCCCATATATATTTTCGTCCGATTTAATTTAAATGGTGTACAAAGTCCCTATATATTCTTCGATTTGCACGAAATTTGGCACAGCGTACTGAATATACCCTAGAAAGATGCGTATTAAGTTTCTTAAAAATCGCTTCAGATTTAGATATAGCTCCCATATATATGTTCGACCGCTTTAATGTAAATGGTGTACCTTCGTTTTACATGAAATTTGGCATAGCGTACTGAATTAAGTCTAGAATGATGTGTGTTAAGTTTCGTGAAAATCGGATCAGAGTTAGATATAGCTCCCATATATTTTAGCTCGATTTAATTTTAATTCTTAATTTTGCACGAAATTTGAAAATTGTCCGATTTTAAGACTCAAAGTTAGGCCGATTGACACACATCCAATTTCATGTCAATGGCCCTTCTGTTTTAATGCATTTAAAAAAAAAAGTAATTAAATAAATGTATTTTACAGGTACCAACTACCCTCCGATTATATTAATAGTCGGTGCAGTTATTTGGATTCTCTCATCTGGTCTTATGATTTATGGTATTGTTAAGGTATTTTAAAAATTGGTCAATCACCGGTATCATTTTAACAATTTTATCTCATAATTTCAGAAAAGTCGCGCCTTCCTATTACCCTGGTTGATTTATATGGCCCTGCTATCAATAGTTTTTATAGTTGTCTTAGTTATACTCTGGATACAAATAATGTCTTTTCACTACAAAGGTGTTGTCGCCTTTCTTATTATTACCGGTAGGCTGGCATGTTATCAATTCATTTGAAAATAAATATATTCAATTTTTTTCAATATTCCCAGGTCTTGTCATAAATATTTTGTATCCGATAATTGGACTATATATGGAAATGCGACACGAGGCCATGGAAGAAATATTGCCAATAACGAATGATGAATAAATTAAAAATTAAAAAAAATATATTCATTTAAAATTTTTAATATTTTAATATTGTTAATTTTTATTATATCTTTTTTTTTTATGTATTCTATTAATTTTGTTATCACCCATTGAAATAATGTCCATTTCTTAATTTTAAATCATCGACCTTATAAAATAATCACCAAAATTATTTTTCTCATTCGATTCGGAATATTCCTTAGCTTCCAAGTTTTCTATACGAATATCAGCAGCCAGTATATAAATGGGATAAATTAAAATAATTTGCATACCTAAAAGAAAGTTTATCAATATAATATATTTCCATTTAGATATACATCTGTTGTACATACCAACAATAATTAAAACAAACAATATATCATCCCATTGATGATTGCGATAAACAATATCATAGATGTTACAGCAGGTGAATACAATAGCCGATAATGTTGCCAATGTTAGCCAGGGTACAATAAGTTTAGGATATTTCTGAAATAATAATTTTAAATATATTTATTAGAAACAAGTAAAAACATTTTCAAATTCTGCCGGAACCAATATCACATACCATACACCCTGAAAATCTAAAATAAAATTTCCGGTCATATCATTATATTGGGTATCTATACTAATAAAAGAGTAAAACCAGTAAGGAACGTAGTAAATTCGGACTGGACCGACTATATGATAGCCTTCACCAATTTGGGTATATTCTACATATGTATCCTAACAGACGTCGCCTTTTCGAAGGAGCATTGACATGGAATTGATCTAGCTTAAATCTAATCTAATCCGATTTTCTCCAAACTTTACACACGAGCTATGGTAGGGACAGATTTTCATCTCAAATGCACGAAAATCCCCATGAACATGCATAACAACAACATTCAGTGTAAATATAAAATACAGAAAAAAACCAGTGAGCGGAGCAGTATAGTCGGACGGGGCCGACCATACGATACCCTACACAACTACCACGGAACTGCGGTAGTTTATATATAGTTCTGCGGATGTTTATTCCGAGCCTGGGCAATATTTCGTGATATTGGCATCCTTTTGCCCGATTAGCACCTCTTCCTCACACTGACATATTTTCCGAATATTACGAGTATTCAGTACAGCTATTGTCCAGATTCCCTTCACCGTGGATTGTGTTGTGATGTTCGGCTTTCATTTGTGGTCTATATATCGACTCGAAAATAACACAAAAAATTAAGTTTTCTGTCCACTTCATTCCAAAAATATTATCTGATCATCACCGAAAATTATAGGCCTTGTCCTTGACCATAACTGGAACCTTTTGGAACATTTCAAAGAGATCAGCGCTATAGTTCCGCGCTCTAGAGTGATAATGGGTTGCTAAATAATATACGAATACGGAGATACCTGTAAATATTTAGGTGTAACTCCCACATCCGAGCACATACAACAATATAATTGGTATTAATTTAAAGGTCAACCACTCCTCTTTGATATAATATCAACTTCTCGGATCGATGTCATTCAGAGGTAAATATATACGCTATAGAATACAAATTTTGTCATTTTTCACACCAAAGTCAGGGTCCATTTGACCCGCTAAAAAGGCATGCTTATTCTTTGGCCCGATTCCCTTCTCCATGCAAAATTTCACGATGTTCGGGCCATTATTGCGACCTCTGGAGCGACCAGAAAAACCGACAAAAATTTTGTATTTGGTCCATTTCATCGCCTAAATATTAACCGATCTTTCCCAAAAACAATAGGGGTCTTCATTGGCCAGAACCCATCCTACATGCATTTCGTGAAGATTGGTCCATAACTGTGGCCTGTATCGTCTTTACAAATTATAATGGACAGACGGACGGACACACATGTCTAGATCGACTCAGCTAGTCGAGATATGACGATCGGTATACTTAAAAGTGGGTCTAGGACCAATATTGCTGCACAAAGCTATAATACCCTGACAACATAGTTGTGTAGGGTATAAACACAAAATTTCTTAAATACGATTGTCATGAGCGAACCAAAATATAAAAGAGGTTATTTGAAAAACTTCAACGTAAAAAACATTCAATTATAGTACAAAATTGTGTGTCGGTCGACCAAACTTTGGGTCTTTAGTGCACAATTTACATAAAATCTGACGAAAAAATATATAGTAGGTAAATCTAAATCTGAACCAATTTTCTCGAAACTTGACACACATCATTCTAGACACAATTCAGTATACTTTGCAAAATTTCGTGCAAATCGAAAGATATAGGGGCTTTGGTGCACCATTTACATTAAATCGGACAAAACTATATATGGGAGCTATATCTAAATCTGAACCGATTGTTTTCAATTTCAATATGGTTCGTCCTTGGGCCAAATAAGTGAGCTGTGCCAAATTTCGTCCAAATCGGATCATAAATGCGACCTGTAGTTTGTTTACAATTTAACATCTACAGACGGACGGACGGTCGGACATGCATAAATCGACTCCGAAAGTGATTCTATGCATATTCTCAAAAGGAACCATGTATCTATATCGTTTCCTTTTGCCTGTTACAAACATATGCACAAAGACATAATACCCTGTACCACAGTGTGGTGAAGGGTATAATGACTGACTGATTTAACGATTTATCAACGCCCAGAAGAAACGACTGTAGCTAGAATTCTTAAATTTTTACTGAGGGTCACTGTTGGTCCAAAGGTGACAGATAAGGCTGGGTTTTTGGAAATTCGTACTAGAACGGTACGAAAAGTACTAAATGTTATAACATTTGTATTTGGCGAACCGGTAGAACTAGAACTCTTAAATTTTAAATGAGGGTCACTGATAGAGTGTAGAATAGATATAGCAAAGGGTTTTTTGGACATTCGAACTATATGTATGCAAAAAGTACTAAAATGTACTAAATTTTGTACAATTTCGTAGCATGTAAATTGATAAAGCTAAAAACTTGAATTTGGAATGCGAATTAGGGTTGAGATGTAGGGCCTATTTAAGGAGATAGTTTTGAAAGCCTGTACTAATGTGTACGAAAAGTACTATATGGTACTATATTTGGTGCACATTTCATTTGGAGCTACAAATCGAGCTGCAATCTTGAAATTTGAAATGAACATTACCATCGGAGTGTATTGGGATATGAACGTATTGGGATATGAACGTATTGGGATATGAACGTAGTTTTGGAAATTTGTTATTTATGTGTACAAAAATTTATAACTCGTACTACACTGCGTATCATAACTATAGACGCACCCTTAATTCAATTGGTATGTTAGTTGAGAAATAAAATGGACCCATTAAGTTATTGTTCACAATAAAACGATCAAAAACACATATTATTCAACAAAAATAATTAATTTATTCTTTATGGTTTCGCCGAATTCTGCCCTTTCAAAATTGCTGGTGTTGCATAACTATAGACGCACTTTTACAAAATTAGAAAAAAATATTTTTTAAAACTTAAATAAAATAAAATAACTTTTATAAATAATGGGTAGGGCCTCCCTTATTTTGAATAAGTTCAAAAATTTTATCCATCACACTGTTGATCAAAATTATTCGCAAGTCTTCATCGATTGACCGCCATTCATCGATAATCACTTCTTGGAAATAAAATAATGTTTGGTATTGGCTGTTTTCTGCATAGACACGACGAGTCAAAATTCCACACACGTTCTCGATCGGATTCTGGTCGGAAATTTTAATATTTTTCGATTTTAACCATACTTGAGTATGGCCACTTTTATGAACTGGTGCGTTGTCCTGCTAAAAAACGAGTCCTTGATTGTTGCTGCTTTCCCAAAATGGCAATAATTTGTCTTCCAAGACTTGAACGTACTCCATTGAATTCATCCGACAACATGGAAATGTCAAATAAAGCATTCCGTGGCTATAAAATGTTCCCAAGGTGGCGGTTACCGAAATATCGTTATTTCTTAATACAATATTTCGGTGGCGGCTCCTTAATGGCCTTGGGAGCATTTTATAGCCATTATTTGACATTTCCATGTTGTCGGATGAATTCAATGGAGTACGTTCAAGTCTTGGAAGACAAATTATTGCCATTTTGGGAAAGCAGCAACAATCAAGGACTCGTTTTTTAGCAGGACAACGCACCAGTTCATAAAAGTGGCCATACTCAAGTATGGTTAAAATCGAAAAATATTAAAATTTCCGACCAGAATCCGATCGAGAACATGTGTGGAATTTTGACTCGTCGTGTCTATGCAGAAAACAGCCAATACCAAACATTATTTCTTTTCCAAGAAGTGATTATCGATGAATGGCGGTCAATCGATGAAGACTTGCGAATAATTTTGATCAACAGTGTGATGGATAAAATTTTTGAACTTATTCAAAATAAGGGAGGCCTTACCCATTATTTATAAAAGTTATTTTATTTTATTTAAGTTTTAAAAAATATTTTTTTCTAATTTTGTAAAAGTGCGTCTATAGTTATGCAACACCAGCAATTTTGAAAGGGCAGAATTCGGCGAAACCATAAAGAATAAATTAATTATTTTTGTTGAATAATATGTGTTTTTGATCGTTTTATTGTGAACAATAACTTAATGGGTCCATTTTATTTCTCAACTAACATACCAATTGAATTAAGGGTGCGTCTATAGTTATGATACGCAGTGTATAATTGCTTCAATTTGGATTTGGATGAACCGATAGAATGGGAACAATAACATTTGGAGTCAGGATCACTGTAGGGGTGCAGGATTGGGATCAGGATTCAGTTTTGTAACGACTCAATTGTCCACCGAATTGCTGGGGAAAGCTCTCGGCGGCCAGAGTTCGTGACAGAAATTTATTTCTGTCAGCGACAAGAGTAAGGAGATAAGTCTTCCGTTTTTTTAGTATAGGTGGGTTTTATTGTTTTGTTTTCGGCACAGTTGATACTGGGGATATTGTCAGAGACTAGGGTATGTGTTGTGGTACAGGGGACAAGACCGGGATTAATCTAGTGATCTTGTCGGGGACAATTGCCTAGAACTGCCTCCTGGATGACTGAAGCACCGGTGCGTTATGTAGGCGTAGTGGCTTAGGACAACTCACTAGCGCCCACCGCTGAGAAAGAGTCCATTGGATGACTGGGGGGCCTGGGGTGACCTGGAGTCCGTACGATAAGTCACTAGGGGTACGTCGAACATCCTGGAAGTGGCTTTTCCCAACTCACTTCTTCCGTGAACGGCGCTGGTGGCAATATCAACTCACCTGTTCTTTCGTGAGTGTGGGGTCGGTGGTTTCAGTGGCAACGGGAAGCTCACTTAACCTTCAGTCTTCTTTACTCCTTGACTATTGATTGACTCACCTGTAAAACGGGTTTAGGGTATTTCCTCGTCTAGACCTTGTGCTGTTAGCTCTTCTCTCACGACTGTTCCCGCAGCATTCGTCGTTCTCCCTTTTATTGGACCGTCATCGCAACCTTCAGGATCACGCTGTTGTTGTGAGTTATTCCTTGGCGACGCATCGCAGTCTCTACGCACGCGCGTTGTTGTTTCTTACCCATGACTAGTCCGAATCCTCTGACGTGCGTTGTTGTTGCTAGTTGTTTACCAACAAACAACGCATCAGAACCCTTTACCGTGTGTTTTGTTGCTAGTTGTTTACAACCAAGTAACACATCAGAACCCCTCACCGTGTGTGTTGTTGCTTGTTGTTTACAACTCAGCAACGAGTCAACGCTCTTTGACGTGCGTTTTGATGCTGGATGTTTACATGCCCCAAAATATCGAAAGGTAACTTGTTTTGATGCCTAAATCGTAAACAACTTTGGTACAGTTTGAATTTTAGGTGGACCAATAGAGCTAGAATCATGAAATTTGGAATCAGGATCACTGAAGAGTTGTAAGATTGGCGTATGTAGGAAGTTTTGGAAATTGGTACTAAGTGTACTAAATTTGGTTCAATTTGAATTGTGGATAGACTTGAATTCCTGGAACTTGGATTTAGGATCACTGTGGAGGTGTAGGATTTGGGTATGCAGGACGTTTTGGAAGTTGGTACTACTGCGTACTAAATGTGGTACAATTTGAATTTGAAGGTTGCAATCCTGAAATTTGAATTTAGGATCACTGTGGGAGTGTGGGTTTGGGGTAAGTAGGAGGTTTTGGAAAGTCGTACTAAAGTTGGTACAATTTGAATTGTAGGTGAACCATTAGAGTTGTAATCCTGAAACATGGATTTAAAATCTCTGTGGGGGTGTAGGATCGGGGTATGTAGGAAGTTTTGTTGGATGGTTGAGGTGTAAAATTTGGATTTGGGTGAATCTTTCGAGCTCGTATCATGAAATTTGTTAACAGATGGTACTCAAATCTAATTTAATGTCGATATGAATGTGTGGATTGCTTAGTTTTCCTGATATATGCAGTTTTAAAATAAAATACTATGTTAATACATATTTAAATATTCCCCACATTCGCTAACGAATTAGCGGGTATATGCTAGTAGCTTAATATATTAGTTTAGTGGAAAAGGAAATCCATTATTTTTTCAGCAGATGGATGTACTGATAGACTTATGGTAATGTATCGATCAAACCATTTCAGATTTATGATCTTTAGAGGGATAACATTTTACAGTAAAAAATATTTTGCTGTTTTTTTTTTGTGCATGAGTTACAGATTGTTAAAAATGGAAGTGAACAAAGAGAAAATTCGGTATATTTTACATCGAAGTTGACAGGCATGTTAGCCGTCGTAACATTGCCCAGGAGCTAAAAATCGACCATAAAACTGTTTTACATCTACAGTGACTCGCCAGAAACTTCGGCATATTGAGTGGGAAGTTTTAATTCATCCGCCATACAGTTCGGACCGGACCGGACCGGCACCAAGCGATTATTATATTTTTCTTGCATTGCCAAATTTCTTTAATGATAACAAATTAGATTGTAAAAATCGACTACTAGAGTTTTTTGCAAATAGAGAGGCATTATGAAATTACCTTTAAAATGGCAACAAATCATACAACAAAACGGCCCAAATCGGACTTAACACACATCATTCTTGACTCAATTGCAATCGATATGCACAATTTGGTCCCAAACGGACAAACATTGGGCGTTTGGTGCACCATTTATATAAAATCAGACGTAAATATATTGGGAGCTATATCTGAATCTGAACCACCACAGTGTGGTGAAGGGTATACAAATATATATCATGAAAAAAATATTTTTTTTGCAAAATTCTGAATCCCAACAACAACTATTAATTATTGGTGGGGAATGTATGAGATTGTCCGCCGACGAGTAAGGCAGGGAAGACTATGGTTTCGGATCTCGCCACTGATACTCAGCTGTTCCCTTAGTTTTTTGTTTGAGGTATTCTCTCCAGAAGCTATTTATTGCTTCTTTACAAAAAACCTTTCCTACCCAAATGTCTCTTGTAACAAATCGAGGTACTTACGTTACCAGCAATGCCACCTAAATGAGAAGTTCATTGGTGGCTGACTTTGTGGTTAACAAGGCATTTGCTGACAACTACAATACATTTCCCACTGCTATGTGTCGTCACTTTGTGACGAATGCACATAACGTTGTAGTTGCTATTGCCACACATTTCCCACTAATAAATAGTTGTTTTTATAAAGACAACAAAATGGGATTAAGCCTGACTATTTTGCAAAAACAAAATACAAATGGGATCCCAAATAACCCACCAACACTACTGATTTTTTTATTTTCTTATATACGTTGGTCCGATTTTAAGTGATGTATCACTTCGCATTTTTTTACCTTCGGATTGAGTGTAGAGTGATGTGTTCCAAATGTTATTAAATGGATTTATCTGACACCTGATTACAATTTATTATGCATTACTTAAGATTATTAGAGCACATATTGTATAAGCTCAAAATGGTGCATTTACGATATTGTTCGACCCGACTGAATTAGTTCCTTTCCTTACAGTTTCCAATACTACCCTTTTTCCTATTCCCCTTTAAGATATATCGATATCATAATTACCTTTACAATACCCCAAATCAGTAAAGTAGCCGATATAGCAGTTAACAAGCCAAATGTAAATATGCCAGTATGCTGGAGTATAAACTGGATACTTAAACCTGTAGAACAATTAATACAAAAACTATTAAAATTGTTTTTCGAATATTGTATAATTTTTCATTATTCTCTCTCCATTTATACTTACCATGATCATCGTGAAACATAAAAATATATTTGATCATCGATATTTCATTCATTAGAATCATAAAACTTATCAAAATTGTAACCGCAGCCACAAAGATACCATGTTTTTCTAAGCCTTTTAACGACATTTTATTTTCCTTTATTGCTCGTTTTAATTTTAATTACAATCAAGCAAAATATGTAAATTCATATATTAAATCATCCGCTGGATTATTATGACTATCAGTCAAATGTTCCACAATTCAAACTGATTGCGAAAAATCAGAGAAAATTTTTGCAATAAATTATTTACATTAAGTATTTGGTTTTTATTTTTTGCTTTCATATTTATTTTTTCTTTCATTTCAATACATTTAAGGTAAAGTGAAATAAGAAATTTGTTTTGTTTTTATTTAACAAAAAAAAAAGAAAAAAATTCCAATACTGATAAGACCCATGTTTTGATTTCTTTGAACTAAAAAACATCTGCCTGAGAGAGTATTAGCATCAGAGATTTCAATTATTGTTAAAAAAACTTTAATCATCTTTAAATTTATTGTTGATAAGACTTGGGCGTATAATCTCTCTGAGTCGATGGGACTCATTAATTAGTTTTCACAAATCGAAATAGAGCTTTAGAATATAATTCATTTTAGTATGAAATGGAATGTGTTATGATTGCGTTCATTGATGAAATTTATAATTTCCTTTACGTTACAAAAGTACAAGATTCATTTGGAAAAATAAAAATTTCTCACAACTTGCGAATCAGTTATAAAATTAGAATTATGAAATTAAAGACAATTCGTTTGAAAAAGGTATAAAAAATTCTCAAAATATATGTGTACCATTATGTGAGGTCTATACATAAATATCGATCTATATCTCTAACACAATGTGAGAAATTGAATGTCATGATCTGGCGTTGGGAAATTACTTTTAGGAATAAAAGCACTTAGAGATTATATTAACCCTTTGCACTCCGTTGTAACTTTTGGTGGAACATCATAATTCTAGCCTTTCACCCCAATGTTTGCTCTGAGGGGATATCCAAGTTTATTAGACTAAATATCGAACTACATATTCCCCATTGGAACACTACAAGTAAGAAAGGGTCGGCCGGTTTTGCGGACAGATAGGTGATAGTCTGCGGAGGTCTATGCTTTATTATTCGTTTTACATTAGATATATGGGAAATTACAAAAATCTTTTAAATTCCTTGAAGCTGAGGTTTGCAAGGTTATAACTCGCGAAATATGAACATATTGCATATAATTCAAATTCATTTCTATAAAATGAAGTGTTTTTGTCATAATCTTAAATATTGGTAATAAATAATAAGTTGCAAGGAAGCTGTGATGGTGGTAATGTAAAAATATGGGTGAAAATGTGTTGAAGCCAACGAGTTTTTTGTGTTCCTTCCTGATTTGTGGCTAAACTACACAACGCACGCATATGTGATCAGTGACTAAGTTGCAGAATACCCCATGGACAACATGGTTCTAATGTATGATTTTTCGATATAATCACTGCATCCACCCGAAATGGATGATGACATTTTGAAGCCGGATTTTCGGTGTTTTTCATTTTTTCTTATAATTAGGATGCGCATCCAGATAATGGAATAACTGATTATAGGATTGTAGAACTCATGATTTTGCTTCGTTTAGTGTATATCTCATGAATGTGCTCACCGTAGCGCACCAAATTTTCATCTTCGGAACCAAATTGCAAGGTTCCGAAGATGAAAATTTGGTGCGTAAATTTTTATAAAAAAAATATATTTTGAGTCTAAAATTAAGAAAGTCCATTCAAATTCCGTGGAACCCCGCGTGATTTCATGTTCAATTCCGACCAATAAAACGGCGGATATAGGTACCTTGAATGTGGGAAAAACTGTAAAAACATATTTTGACAAATTCGCGTATATAATCGCTTTTTTCTTCGAATTGATTTTAAATACATTCATGCTTGTGTTATCATATTCGCGAATCTGTGTGAAAATAGGTCAAAAATATCTCGATACGCGGATAATATGCGTATTTTATCCAAAATCGATTGTGGAGGCACATCCGCGGTTCTTCACCGATCCTTTTAAAATAGATGTCCTTTTGTGTATTTTCAGAGGAGATTACTGAAATCGGATGCGCATAAAAATCGTAGAGTTTTTGCATAGTAAAGTGCATCGAGCGGCACACTTTTGCCGCTAAATCGAACATCGAAAAATTCATAATTATTGGAAGAGATTCATTCGATTTACACGAAAACCGCATGCGCAACAACTGATTTCCACGAAAACGCGAATTGCATGCTTTTCAATATTGATCATTTTTATGTATTGTAAGTGCAATATATTTAATTATTTTCAACGTCGAAACTCTTATCACATGAATTTACCGATATTTAACAATCATGCAAAAGAATTTGCAGAAGAATGCGTCATATATTTTGAGAAGATTAAGGCAAAACCGCATTCCTTAACCACACTAAAAAATTGAAAATTCAAAAAAAAAAAGTTATTTCTTATTTAAAAAATTAATTTATTTTATTTTTAGATATCCTTATACTTCTTTTTGTTTTTTTTCGCGAATATTGTACCGTATTTCAATGTGATTTGCAGAGAAAACAAATGTGTTTATCCATTTGTGAAGAAATTCGCGAATTACAACAAAAAGGAATCCATTTAATATATATTTGAAATACAAGATTTAAAACCGCTATAACTTTTGTGCGCAGCATCCGAATTTGTGAACGCGAACAGATTTCGAATCAGCATATTTTTCTTAATCATAAATGTGCTCGCAAAAAAAGTTTTCATTTTTTTTTAATGGAATTTTAAAAGAATTTTGTAATTTCCCATATGTTTTTAACAAAGAGTTTTTGGATTTAACTTCAAATTAAATTTAAAATTCTATAAAATACTAGCACATACCCGCTACTTCGTTAGCGAATGTGGGAAGTATTTAAACATATATTAACATATTATTTTATTTTCACAGAAAACTACATATGTCAGAAAAACTAAACAATCCACACATTAATATCCACGTTAAATTAATTTGACGTTAATTTAAATTTTGGCACTAAGTGGTACCAAATTTCATGATTCCAGCTCTAAAAGTTCACCCGAAACCAAATTTTACCAAATTTAATTCCATTTAATTAATTCCATAAGTGCCCTCCTCAACCATCCAACAAAACTTCCTGCATACTCCGATTCTACACCCCAACAATGATGTCAAATTTCAGGCTTCCAACTCCATTGGTTCACCCACAATTCAAATTGTACTAAATTTAGTACATAATAGTACCAATTTCCAAAACTTCCTACTTACCTCAAACCTACACCCAGGGTGCGCAAAAATTGGCTCGCGAATAAATTAAAATACATTCTTTTCCTTTTGTGCTTATTTTACAAATGAATTTATTGCGATAAATTCTTTGCCAAACGAGCATTCACCAATGAATGTTCGCACACACATAACAAACGAGTGATCGTTTGTTATACGAAGCGATCGTTCGCTTCGTTTGGTGGTTCAAATTCTTTCTGACATTCTCTCACGAACGAAAACAAACATTCCCGATTAGGGATAAGTAAATCGACTTTCGACTAATCGACTTTTTGTATTGAAAAGTCTAAAAGTGGAAGTCGACTTTTGACGTTTGAGAAAATCGCAAAGTCGACTTTTCAAGATCGACTTTCGATTTTCTTCACAAATTCTTGGTTTATTATCACAAAGCCGAAATTGTCCAAAAAATACACATTCCAGAACTTTTTTTCATCTGTTGACAACAATTCTTATGAAAAATTAAATTTTTATTCGATTTTGCTTTAGTTGGTAAAAGTCGAAAATCGATTTTGAACAGGTGTGAGGCAAAAGTCGAAAAGTGTAAAAGACGACTTTTGCGCTCGACTACGTATCCCTATTCCTGAATTCTCGTAAATGCTCAAAACAGCAACAAGAATAACAACAAACCTTCGTGAACTCAATAGTAGTTGGACATGTGTTTTGTTGTTCTACACACTTTCTGTTACACACACACCCACATTCATTCGTTGTGTGTGTTAACTTTTTTTATGATGTTATTGTCTGTTTTTAACCGTGCTCGCGAGCATTCGCGAACTTTTGTTCTTTGAGTTTTTCAATATAATATTCTTCAGCAACGAATCGACGACGCTTGCTGCGAAATTGTATCGTTAGTGAATTTTTCGTACAATGCGGACATTTGCGAGAGATTGCAAATGATTGTTCATTCATTGTAATTTCATCATTCGCCATAAATTGAAAACATTCGAATTCTCGCCTTGAGCATTCGTGAGAAAGAGCGTATTTTAAACATTCTTCGCACCCTGCCTACACCCCACAGTGATCTTAAATCCAAATTTGAGGATTTCAACTGTATCGGTTCACCCATAATTCAAATTGTACTAAATTTAGTACATTGTAGTACCAATTTCCAAAACTTCTTACTTACCTCAAACCTACACCCCACAATGATCTTAAATCCAAGTTTCTGGATTCCATCCCCATTGGTTCAGCCACAATTCAAATTGTACTAAATTTAGTACCAATTTCCAAAACTTCTTACTTACCTCAAACCTACACCCCCACACTGATCCTAAATCAAAATTTCAGGATTCCAACTTTATCGCTTGTCACCCACAATTTAAATTGTACAAAATTTAGTACACATTAGTACAAATTTCTGAATCTTCCTACATATCATAATCTTACACCTCAACAGTGATCCTGACTCCATGATTCTAGCTCTATTGCTTCACCTAAAATTCAAATTGTACCAAACGTAGTATCATTTAGTACCCATAAGTATTAATTTCTTAAACTAAATCCTGACCCCAATCCTACACCCCTACAGTGATCCTGACTCCAAATTTTATTGTTCCCGCTCTATCGGTTCACCCAAATCCAAACTGTACCGATTATAGTACGATTTAGTACTTTTCGTACACATGAGCAACAAATTTCCAAAATATCCCAATCCTGCACTTCGACGGTAATGTTAATTTCAAAGTGCAGGATAAAACCTCGATGTGTATCTCCAAATGAAATTTGTACCAAATACAGTATCATATAGTACTTTTCGTACACAAATCCATCTTCAAAAGTGGCCCGATATCGATAATTTG